GTCTGCAAAAGTTTGGGCCCCCTGCAGAATTTATAGCATGCACTGCCCCCTTTGACAAGCTAAGTCCTGCCAGTGTCATGGATTGTTCTCAATCATCGTCTGGGAAGACCAGGTGATGTCAATCTCAAAGGTTTTAAATGCCCAGACTCATCTGACCTTGCCCCAACAATCAGCACCATGGGTTCTTCTAAGCAGTTGTCTAGAAAACTGAAACTGAAAATAGTTGACGCTCACAAAGCTGGAGAAGGCTATAAGAAGATAGCAAAGCGTTTTCAGATGTCAATATCCTCTGTTCGGAATGTAATTAAGAAATGGCAGTCATCAGGAACAGTGGAAGTTAAAGCAAGATCTGGAAGACCAAGAAAAATATCAGACAGAACAGCTCGCAGGATTGTGAGAAAAACAATTCAAAACCCACGTTTGACTGCACGATCCCTCCAGAAAGATCTGGCAGACACTGGAGTTGTGGTCACTATTCCACTATAAAGAGACACTTGTACAAATACAGTTGTGACCAAAATTATTCAACCCCCAATGCTGTAAAGGGGTTTAGGGACTATAGTGTACATTTGGAATTGTATTCAGAATCAAATCCTACAAGGACGTTGTAACTACCCAAATGCAACTAAAATGACATCAATTGTTTATGTAATACAGTAGTAAATGGTTCTTATGTGGTTTCTTCATTGCCACAATTATTCAACCCCTTAAAGACTACCACTCTGAAGAACAGAGGTTCATACAGGTGCTTTCCATCAGGTATTGAAAACACCTGTGGATGTCACCGAGCAGCAATCAAGCATAATAAGCACCAATTAGGCAGCTTTAAAATGACTGTGATACTCAGCTCCTTCTAGACATTTACTGGTGTGGTTACAAACATGGTGAAGGCAAGAGAATGGTCCAGGAAGACAAGAGAAGAGGTGATTTCTCTTCACAGGAAGGGCAATGGCTATAAGAAGATTGCAAAGATGTTAAACATACCAAGAGACACCTTAGGAAGCATCATTCGCAAATTCAAGGCAAAGGGCACTGTTGAAACGCTACCTGGTCGTGGCAGAAAGAAGATGCTGACTTCGACTGCTGTGCGCTACCTGAAGCGTAGAGTGGAGAGAAGTCCCCGTGTGACTGCTGAGGAACTGAGAAAAGATTTGTCAGATGTGGGTACAGAAGTTTCAGCCCAGACAATAAGACGCACACTGCGTAATGAAGGCCTCCGTGCCAGAACTCCCAGGCGTACCCCCTTGCTGTCTCCAAAGAATAAGAAGAGTATGCCAAAAGCCATGTGGACAAACCACAAAAGTTGTGGGATAGTGTTCTGTGGACTGATGAAACAAAATTAGAACTGTTTGGGCCCATGGATCAACGCTATGTTTGGAGGAGGAAGAACAAGGCCTTTGATGAAAAGAACACCTTGCCTACTGTGAAGCATGGTGGAGGGTCAATCATGCTTTGGGGCTGTTTTGCTTCTGCAGGTACAGGGAAGCTTCAGCGTGTGCAAGGTACCATGAATTCTCTTCAGTACCAGGAGATATTGGATGGAAACGTGATGCAGTCCGTCACACACCTGAGGCTTGGGAGACGTTGGACCTTTCAACAGGACAATGATCCCAAGCATACCTCCAAGTCCACTAGAGCATGGTTGCAGAGGAAAGGCTGGAACATTTTGGAGTGGCCATCGCAGTCACCAGACTTAAATCCGATTGAGAACCTCTGGTGGGACTTAAAGAAAGCAGTTGCAGTGCGCAAGCCTAAGAATGTGACTGAACTGGAGGCCTTTGCCCATGAAGAATGGGCGAAGATACCCGTAGATCGCTGCAAGACACTTGTGTCAAGCTATGCTTCACGTTTAAAAGCTGTTATAACTGTAAAAGGATGCTGTACTAAGTACTAAGATTGAATGTCACTTGGGGGTTGAATAAAACTGATAATGCTGTGAGCACAGAAAAGACATTTGTGGTTATTTCATTATAACTGTTATGTTATATTTGTCTGACCTACAAGTGCCTCTTTAATGTAAATGTAAGCAAGATGACTGAATGATCAAAAGCAATGTCAAACTGGCCAAAACACTCAATTTCAGTGGGGGTTGAATAATTTTGGTCACAACTGTATGGTCTTCATGGAAGAGTCATCAGAAGAAAACCTCTTCTACGTCCTCACCACAAAAATCATCGTTTGAACTTTGCAAATGAACATATAGACAAGCCTGATGCATTTTGGAAACAAGTTCTGTGGTTCGATGAGGTTAAAATTGAACTTTTTGGCCGGAATGAGCAAAGGTACGTTTGGGGAAGAAGGGGCACAGAATTTAATGAAAAGAACCTCTGTCCAACTGTTAAGCATGGGGTTGGATCAATCATGCTTTGGGGTTGTGTTGCAGCCAGTGGCACAGGGAACATCTCACGAGTAGAAGGAAAAATGGATTCAATAAAATTTCAGATTTTTGGATGGTAACTTGATGCCATCTGTGAAAAAGCTGAAGTTAAAGAGAGGATGGCTTCTACAAATGGATAATGATCCTAAACACACCTCGAAATCCACGGGGGATTACATCAAGAGGCGTAAACTGAAGGTTTTGCCATGGCCTTCACAATCTCCTGACCTCAACATAATTGAAAATCTATGGATAGACCTTAAAAGAGCAGTGCGTGACAGACAGCCCAGAAATCTCAAAGAACTGGAAGACTTTTGTAAGGATGAATGGGCAAAGATACCTCAAACAAGAATTAAAAGACTCTTGGCTGGCTACAAAAAGCGTTTACAAGCTGTGATACTTGCCAAAGGGGGCAGTACAAGATATTAATTCTGCAGGGGGCCCAAACTTTTGCAGACGCCATTTTTTTGTTTTCTGTTATTTTGAAAGTGTAAATGATGGAAATAAAATCTAACTTTTGTTGACATATTATAAGAATGTCTAATCTGTAATTTGATGCCTTTTGGAGATTTTTCCATCTTTCCTTGGCTTCTTTATGCACATTAATACAAATTTTTAGCTGGGGTGCCCAAACTTTCGATCCCCACTGTACCTACCCCAAGGCACATACAACTGGGGTTTGGAAGGCAGGAAACCTACCCCTGGAAGAATTAAATTAGTGATAAGAAAGTGTCATCCCATAAACTAAGTGACTTAAACCAACACAACCCATACACAAGGCAGCTGCCCCTCTAATTGTAAAATGACACTTTATTTATATGTGAACAGATCAATGGCCCTTCCAAATAAGAGTTTGTGGCTAATCCCAATTTTGTGTCATACCAATGCAAACAAAAGAAATAAACATGAGAATGCCTAAACATTTGTATTTGCAACAATTTTCTGGGCCAAGCATTATCTGATAGAAATGCAAGGGTGCCAATATTTTTTGCCATGACTGTACTTGGCTAAACACAATATCTGATATCAAATGTTTGCTGGCTGCTTTGTTGGCCAATGTGATCTGGTGAGAACACGTTGGTGGAGCACTGCTGGTTTTAAAAGAAGAATGTATCACTTCACTTCCTTTTTTGTTCCCAAGACAATGGTTTTGGGGATTTTTTATCATTTACCATGTGGACGTTCTAGTATATTACAATATTTTACATTGTTTGTGTTTTTTCAATTTTTCATTACGTGCATTAGGTAGAGTTTGCATGTTTTCTATTGGGAAGGCCCTGCACAGGGGCAGACTGAAAACTCATGGGGCCCCCAAGCAATAAGGGATCATGGGGCCCCTGTGTCCTTGCGCACACTCAAAAAACCCTATAAAAAAGGTACCAGGGGAATTTCATGGGGTCCCCTACTGACTGGCAGTGCTCGAGTGCTCTAATGGTCAGTCCACCACTGGCCATGCACCTACTTTTATTGATCTGTTCACCACAGGTGCAGTGCAGTGCACCTGTGGCTTTCCTTCGGGTTAGCTGCACTTTGCCATAGACTTCTATTATATCCTGCAGGTGTGGTGCACTCTCTGAAAGCCCGCCATACCCACAGGTAATAACAGTTTGAAAGCAGCCCAGTAACCACTGCAGAACAGATATGCTCAGGGGCGGACTGACAACTCATGGGGCCCCGGCAATAGGGGATCATGGGGCCCCTGTGTCCTTCCCCAAACTCAAAAAAGCCTATGAAAAAGGTACCAGGGGCATCTCATGGGGCCCCCTACTGACCCCGGGCCCTCGGGCAGAGCCGAATTACCAAATGATCAGTCTGCCCCTGGATATGCCCATATATACACTGTGGATTTAGAAATAAACCGACCTTCTATTCAGCCTTCTATTCAGGTATCACTGACTGTTGCTGTCCCAGGCATTGCATTTGGTATCATTCCACCTATGACAGGACACTGAGCTATACAGAAGGCATCGGTTTATGCAGCTCTGCTCCACGGTTCCTTGCTTCCTCTACCACCGGCTTCATTCACAGCACTGACGCTGTGGGATGACGGGCCACATCAGAAGGCTCTGTGGGTCACCGGTTGGGCACCCCTGCTTTAACTTTCTCAATCATATCAAAAGCTAAACATAAAATGTTTTGTCTGTACCTACACATTAAGGGGTCTTTTTTCCCCACACAAGATTTATTTTACTTTCATGTATCTTTTCAATAAATTCAATAAGAATTGTGTGTGAAAATTGCGCACATTTTCAATGAAAATACTGAAGCCAAAAATCATTGAAAGCACTAATACCCAACTTATCACTTTTCTATGTTTGCTCTAATCTAATAGAATTACTTTAAGTCCTCCAATATTTTGTGTTTGCAAAAATCAAATATGGTGTTCAATCTAGTAACCCACTCCTTTTGGTGATCTGCTTATTAAAAAAAACAATATGGAGATGATGATGGCTTATTGACATATATAAAGAACTCTACACACCGATTGTTACTGTTTATTAATGAGTTTAAAATAATGCTTAAAACTATCTTTCATTTCGTGATTCCTTAAACTATAAATCATTGGATTCAAAAGAGGAATTAGAACATTGTATAACACAGAGGAAAACTTGTTCATCTTCACATTTTGCTGAGATGGAACCATATAAGTAATACATATTGATCCAAAGTACAAGCAAACAGAAGCTAGATGTGAACTGCATGTGGAGAAGGTTTTTTGTCTTCCAGACCTTGAGGAAATTTTCAAGATGGTGGAAAATATGGAGATATAACTGACTATGATCAAGACAAAAGTGATGACGCCTAGAAAAAGGACTATGAAGATAATTTCCATATCCACCAGATATGTGTCTGAAGAAGAAAGCTGTAGAAGTGGAGCTAGATCACAATAGAAATGGTCAATAGTATTTGAACCACAAAACTGTAGGTGGCAGATCGTAATTATCAACATGGCCATGACTGTAAATGGAACCATCCATGTCCAAGAAACCAGATGGTTACGAGTGTTAATGTTCATAATGGAAGAGTATCTCAGAGGGTTGCAAATGGCCAAATGTCTGTCATAAGCCATAAGAGTTAACAGAAGACATTCTGCACTACCGGTTGAAGATGCCAGGTAATGTTGGATAATACACCCAAAGAATGATATGAAACCTCCATTTGACCATAAAATGTACAGCATGTTAGGTGTGATTGTGGTGGTCAAAATTACTTCACAGGCAGATAGATTGCTCAGAAAAAAGTACATGGGAGACTGAAGACTTGCACTGGTAGATATTAAGGTTATGATTAACATGTTCCCTGTTACTGTGGCCAGATAAGCGATGAGGAACAAAACAAAAATACAATTATTTATATGTTGGAGATGCCCGAACCCCAAAAGAAACATCTCTGTCACCATTGTTTTATTCTGTCCACATGTGGCCTGGTGGGTAAAAATACAAGCACTAAACATTAGTATATGAATCACAGAATGTAAAATAATTATTAAGCATCTGTTAATGATGACAAATGCGATTAAACAGGTTGTTACAGGAAGAAATGAGAAGAATAGGGAAATGAAAGGCTTTGTTGTGTTTACCACATTAGGTCATTATTTTTTCCCATTACTTTCTCTCATATTTCTAAAATCAACTTCAATCCTCATCCTTTTATTGTTCTTCTGCAATAAAATTTAAGTAGTGTTTTGTAGGAGTGCTGGACTCCAGAGTAGATGAAAATCAGTAGTCCAAAATGTTAAACTTTTTGGAAGCAGCTCTCCCTCAAAAAGAGATATCACCAAAAGATCTTAGAGAGGTCCAGTATTGAATAAGTCCAGTAGAGGGTTTTATGTAGCATGATGTATAAGTAGAAAGCCAATATGTTTTGAGGTTCTTCTTATTATTATTATACAGGATTTATAGAACAGTTTGCTCAGCGCTTTACAAAATGAAGGTAGACATTACAGTTACAATACAATTTGATACAAGATGAAACAGAGGACCCTGATTGTCAGAGCATACAATCTAGCAATCTTCTTCTTTTATAACATGTTAAAAAAAAAACCCTCTACTCTACATATTCAACTATTTATCTGCTATAATCTTTCCTGTACTCTCAGAAATAAAACTAAAGGCTATTACAAACCCAAGAACCAAAATTTCCAGAAGTCCTAAAGAAAGATTGAGAAGAGCACAGTTCATAAACTGGAGGTATGTTGGTGATGCAATGGAGGGGGGTGGAGAGGTTGCAGGGTGTTATTTTGTAGGCTGGGAGCTGCGGTGGGACCCAGATGGTAGGCACCCAAAGGGAAGACTCGGAAAGCAGACTATATTAGTAATAGTTTTAGATACAACGATTGAGTCTCTTCAACAGTTTATAAATAAGCAACACAACTAACACATGAGATGGAACTCCAGCAGAAGAGCAGAAGACCAAGGCCGGAGATACTTGACACAGAGGTGGGTACAGGCAGATGCACTACACAATAGCGGACAAGTCTTCAGCGTAATCTGTGCCAATCCCTATTCTATCCCCCTCCTCTGGAACCTGTCCCTGTGCTATATTCACTCTCTCTGACGAACGGGTTCCAGTTCCTAACCTTACTGCATGCAGAATGTGCACCAATTGCAGTCAACCAGGGCTTTTTGTAAGCTCTGCCCTCACTAAAGATGGAAGCGGGGACACCCAGGTGACACCATCCAACAGGACAGAAGTTCACCTTGTGACTCCTACAGAGGCCTAAGAGGAATGAATATTTTTCCTGTCCTACACTCTTCCTGAAAGGTGGATAATACCCCGCCACCCCCCCTCTGCCAATCCCTCCACTGGCTTCCGATTGCGCAACGGATCAAATTCAAAATCCTAACACTGACGTACAAAGCTGTCCACCATACTGCCCCGAACTACATCACCGACCTAATATCCAAGTACCACCCAACACGCATACTCCTCCCATGCCCGCCTCTCCAAGACTTCTCCAGGGTGTCACCCATCCTCTGGAACTCCCTGCCCCAACCCATCAGTCTATCACCTACTCTCCTCTCCTTTAGGCGCACCCTGAAAACCCATCTCTTCAGGGAAGCCTACCCCACCCCCTGCTAACTTCACTCTTCTTCCTACCACTCCATCCCCCACAGCTATCTCCTCCTGTACCACCATCCCCCCCCTCCTAGATCATAAGCTCTAAAGAGCAGGGCCCTCGATCCCCTCATGTTTTGCATTGTATTGATATTGTTCTGTCACATGTTCTGTCCCCTTTGTAATGTACAGCGCTGAGCGAACCATTGACGCTTTATAAATACTGTATAATAATAATAATACAGTGCCACCAGTGTTCTTTTCTTTTTTTTGTGAAAAGGTGAAATTACACTTTAAGTAAAACAAAATTTACGTCAATTGCTTACACGTCATAAAAAAAATAAAGTAAGGTGATCCACCAACCAACCAATATGTGGGGCGTCATAGTCCTGCCCCCTGGATTGGGCATTACCGTGGTGCTATTCAAAGAAGACTGAAGATGAATGGCACACAGTGAGGTTGATTTACTAAAGGCAAATAGGCTGTGCAATGCAAGTGCAGTTGCTGTATATCCAAGGGAAAGCTCTGAAAGGAGGCAAAGCTCTGTTGATTTCTTTCATCCAATCATGTGCAAGCAATAATGCTTTTTTAAAAAATGTTCCAACCATGTTCCCCTGGGATCTAGAGCAACTGCACTTTCAAGTGCACCCCCAATGTGTCACATGGAAGAATGAAAAGCTTTGATAAAAGGTAATATATTAAAAAAGCAGCATAACATACAGCATTGGAGAATCATACGAGCTGAGGTTTAAGATATCTACCTCAGATTTATTTTTATGTATGATGAATTGTGATATTTTGGGGGTTTTAACGCATTCCTTGTGCTTTCTAGTGAGTTCAGACCTTCAGGAAATACTGTTTCAGGGCTTTTGACCCACTTTTATTTAAAGGAAAAAGTTCAAAAGTAACTTACAGCATTTCCCCCACAGGCACTTCCATTACCACTTCAAAACACAAAATCAAATGGTACTAAGCCTCTTGGCTTCTTCTTGAAGTATCACTGCTCCTGCCTCAAATCCTTTTGTCTGTTCCTTCAGGCCATTTTATAGCACCACAGTACACACATACAAAGTTTGTACCCTCTCACAGCTCCCCGCAGCGCTGGCCCACATCCTGGCTTCTGGGCCGGGGATCTCATGTCCTAAGTGCCAGACTCTTGATTTTTTTTGATCTGCACAGTCAGGCTGTTGGTTTCTGGTAAGACATGGACCCAGGGATAGAGACTTTATCCCTCTCAAGACACTTCAATGCCTCCAGATTCCAAAAACCAATCTGGGATTTACCAAGCCCAGAGAAAACTAGAAATATGAATTCTGTTCAGCATAGACATTCTGGAGCCCTTCAACCTGCATCTGTGAGAGCCCTGTTTGATCTAAATCCTTCTAACCCATTGTCATGGTAAAGCACTGTCACAGTATAAAAATAATGAATACTCAGTACGTGTTGGAACAAGAAGACTGTTACATGCTCATATTCATGGGCATGTTCATAATTCTAAGCGAAGGCTCAATGCAAAACAGGCATTAGCAGGGGCGGACTGACCATTCGAGCACTCTGGCACTGCCCGAGGACCCAGGGTCAGTAGGGGGCCCCATGAAATGCCCCTGGTACCTTGTTTATAGGCTTTTTTTAGGTGTGCTTTGAGTGTGGGCAAGGACACAGGGGCCCCATGATTCCCTATTGCCCGGGGGCCCCATAAGTTGTCAGTCCACCTCTGGGCATTAGCACACACATAGCAACGTATTAGCATGTGCACAAACAGTGCAGGCACTGGTGCTGAAGAACCAATTTTAGCTGGCCTATGAAACAAACAGATTGCTGAATGGTCTTCAGCTAGTTCCTGCTCAGGGGGCGGACTGACCATTTGGAAACTCAGGCACTGCCCGAGGGCCCGCGGTCAGTAGGGGGCCCCATGAGATGCTCCTGGTACCTTTTTCATAGGCTTTTTGAGTTTGGGCAAGGACACAGGGGCCCCATGATCCTCTATTGCCCGGGGGCCCCATGAGTTGTCAGTCCACCCCTGTTCCTGCTTATCCTGAGCCTTCACCTGCTATACCTGCTTACCCATGCATGACTGGGGTTTCCCCTGAACCTGTCTTTGACCTGGATTTCTGCTTGCCTCCTGTGACCTCGGCTTGTATTTTGACTCTGCTCCTTTCTTGTACTCCTATACCTTGCTGTCTGTTTATGTAATGTCCATGGCTTGTATCCTGACTGCCCTTTGCCTGATGTTCCAGCACCTCGCTGTTCCAGTTCCTGGTTCCTGCCTGGTGATCTATGGTCATCTACTTTCTTTAGCTGGTGCTGCCTGTTACACCGGCCCTCATTCCTCTCTGTGCCCTCATATCTCCTGTCATCACTACCAGGGGGTGTTGGACAAGAGGTGTAAGAGCCCCCTCTCCAGCTCAATCTCCACCAGGTATGTGACAGACACATTTATATTATACTTTTTCCTGTCCCATTCAATTTTTTTTTCATCTGAAAATATACATTAATTTAGTAGCACTATTATTACAACTTCAGGATAGTGAGGAGCATTGAGTAGGGCTAAATGCATCTGCACAGGTAAAAATCACAGCCAGTATTGAAAAGCATCCCTAAAATTTGGAAAATCCAAACTTTTATCCAAAGCCCTATTAAAGTCTATGGAGAGCAAATCTTGATATTTAATACACTTCTTTTTGGGGGCTAAAAAACAAACTATTGTCAAAAATAGAGGCATAGAAAGCTAAGCCATAGGGGATATCTACTTCAATAGGTGATACAGTATCTACCAAAAAAAAAAAAAAAAACATAATCTACAACATAGAGTCATTTAACCACTTCCTGACCGGCCGTTGCATATAAACGGCCGTACGGTGGCAGTGCGGGGCGGAGGGCCGTTTATAAACGGGCACCCTGCTTGTGCACGCTCCCTGGGATCCGGTGCCCGCTGTGTCCTCCGGACACAGTGAAACACCAATCGTCGGACGGGACCTCTGTACGAGGTCCCGATCATGTGATCACTGATTGGCCAATCAGTGATCACATGCAAAATAGTAAGCAAGATGTCACTTGTGACTTGCTTACTACGTGTGAAATCTGTGAATGATCACAGAGGTCACATGGTACAAGGCCATTCACAACAGCCTTGTACCATGTGACAAGCTGTGACCAATCACAACTCACTCAGTACTTCTCAATGAGTGCAAGAATGCAGACAGAGAGAAAGAGAAATGATTGATTTTACATCCTATATGGGTGTAAAAGCAATCAGTGTAAAAAAAAAAAAAAAAAAAATCTTCATCACCCCCCACAAGTAGTACAGTGTCACCATGGTGACACTGTACTGCTAGGGTAACAGTATGTAAAAAAAAATAAAAATGTAAAAAAAAGTTTAAAAATTATAATTTTTGGTTATAAACTAATTTGGATTTTTTTTTTTTACTAAAAAGATAACGGAATAAATTTTGACAAAGATTTATGATGAAATATTATTTATTTGCAAAATTTTATAAAAAAACACTTTTTTAAAAAATTTGTTGGACTTTTTCATTTACATAGCAAAAAAAATAAAAATACCACCAAAATAAAGCCTTATCTGTCTCAAAAAAATGGTAAAAAATTCATTTGGGTACAGTGTTGTATGACCGTGCAATTGTCATTCAAAGTGTGATAGCGCTGAAAGCTGAAAATTGCCCCGGTCAGGAAGGGGGTAAAAGTGTCCGGACTGGAAGTGGTTAAATGGGGTTTCAAGGGCTGCATTGAAAATACAAAAATAAATGCTAAGTACACATGGGCCGAATATCAGGGTGTATTGGCTGTTCAACAGAAACCAGTCTGGTAGAAGCCGGGCTTTTATCCGGCTTCTGTCGAAGAGGTATGACCGAAAAAGGTCTGTTGATTGGCTTCCAATCACCAATCTCAGCCAATGGTTGGGAACCTTGACCCTTGGGCTCTGGCAGGGGCAGTCCCCACTTTCATACCACAATAACATGACAGGGGAGATCGCTGCACTAACACCACTTTTGTTAGTAAAGCAAGCTGCATTTTTTTTTCATTCAGCCCACTGGGCTGAAAGAAAAAATCTTACAGTGTGTACAAGGCTTTAGTGTGTGTAGGTTCTAAATATGTCATGGTATAGCTCAGGGGCGGACTGACAACTCATGGGGCCCCCAGGCAATAGGGGATCATGGGGCCCCTGTGTCCTTGCCCAAACTCAAAAAAGCCTATGAAAAAGGTACCAGGGGCATCTCATGGGGCCCCCTACTGACCCCGGGCCCTCGGGCAGTGCCCGAGTTTCCAAATGGTCTGTCCGCCCCTGGTATAGCTATCAGTAGTTAGCGACATTCAACTGTTGAAGACGTTTCTTGGTTATTCAAGCCACCTATTCAGTTCCAATGAGTGTCAGGACAATACCCCAGCATTTATATTTTATATCCACAATTTGAGACTCTGTCATCCAATCACAATGCATTACATAGATGTTGATTGTCCAAAAACAGGATTAGTGGTCCGAAAATTATGGAACCACCCTGTTCTATTACCACAATCTCATTGTTGGTGCCAGGATGTATACATAAGTGTTCATTCTTCAAACAGGCTGAGATGGTATCAGTAAACAGAATATCTATACACATGGATAACAGATATCTCAGGGGTTCTTTGATTGTTTGTGGCTACCCAGACTGAGCCTTTGTTAAAATATCCACAAGGTCAAACAAAAACATCAGAAGGGAGAAGTACAACATGTAGTATTGTCATCCTAAATGTAGCTGAAGTGTTGGAAAAAACCAGAAGGATTTTTTTTAGCAAAAATTGCATCTGTGTCCTTCAAGCTCAGCAATACACTACATCTTGTACATCCCAAAGACCCAACATCCAAACAAAGCAAAGTAACTTAGTATATGCAGTGCAGGGTGGTGAGAAATGGACAGAGCTGCACATTGGCGAAACAAAAAAAAAAGTCTCCACAAATAAATGGTCCAGCATAGGAGGTCAAATTCTACAGGACAGGACTCAGCAGTTTTCCTAAACCTTAACAAAAAAAGAAATGTTCTTTGGAAGACAATGGGGTGCAAATTCTGGACAAAACGAACAGCTACAAGAGCCTGAATGAGGTCAAACAGGACAACCATCCCTGAATAGGTGTGGGGATCTTGAACATCATATATCTTTCACATACACTCATTGACCACTTTATTAGGTACACCTGTCCAATTGTTTGGTAACAAAAATTGCCATTCAGCCAATCAAATCACATGGCAGCGACTCAATGTATTTAGGCATGTAGACATGGTGAAAATGACTTGATGAAGTTCAAACTGAGCATCAGAATGGGGAGAAAGCGGATCTAAGTGACTTTGAATGTGGCATGCTTGTTGGTACCAGATGGGCTGGTCTGAGTATTTCAAAAACTGTTGATCTACTGGGATTTTCTTGTTCAAATATTTTATTATTTTTAAAGTACAACAACATAAGTTATAAGTAAGCAAATGGGATATTAGAGGTGTACAGTAAATGAACAGGAAAGGTTCCCATTTATACTAGTCAGGCAGCACTAACAAGAGTGAACAACAATTATCAAATAGAGCCTGACATGAAGGGAAGGAGGAGGAGGGAGAGGAAGGGAAGGGTAGGGTGTACGGTTCCAAGGAAGGGGATAAGGAAAATAGCCAAATAACCGCAGTATCAACAAAGGATGGTTCCCGTAAAGCAGAAAACATAGATTATGGGTTGAGAAGGGACTCGTCAAAGTTGGGTGGGAGGAAATGCTCCACCCATGGGTTCCAAATCTTTTTAAACTTGGGGATGGAATCTAGGATAGTGGCTTCTATTTTTGCATGGATCATTGCCTGAGTGACCCTAGTCATGACTGCAGTCGTACTCAGTAAGGGTGATTTCCATGCTTTAGCGATAACCTGTTTGGCCGCAGTGGTGACTTGTAGAATGAGCTTAAAATTTGCCTTCGTAATGTCTGGTGGCCGGAGATTGAGAAGCGCGACTAGAGGACTTGGTTGGAGGGTTGTGGCACTGAGTGCAGACAGTGTTCTGAATACCTCCGCCCAAAAAGTTCGGACGATTGGGCAATCCCACCAAATATGAAAAAATGTTCCTAGGTCTGCGCAGCCTCTGAAACAAACTGGGGGATAATCAAAGGTAAATTTCGCAATTCCGGTTGGGACAAGATACCAGCGGGTATCTACTGGGATTTTCACACACAACCATCTCTAGAGTTCACAGAGAATGATCAGAAAAAGAGAAAATATCCAGTAAGCAACAGTTGTGTGTAAAAAGATACCTTGTTAATATCAGAGGTCAGAGGAGAATGGGCAGACTGGTTGCTGCAACATTCAGATGATAGGCTCAGAATGTGGCATAAAAACATGAAAGCATGGATCCATCTTGCCTTGTATCAATGGTAAATGCTGGTGGTGTAATGGTGTGAGGGCACTAGCAAGGTGTACCTTATAAAGCGGCTGGTGGGATTATAATACCATTTTAACATCTCCACCACTGTGACATCAATTTACAATTTCAGCCACATAAATCAAGGAGCTAAAACCTATGCAGGCTTCCTGAAATTATTATAAAGGATTTATATAGCGCCAACAGTTTGCTCAGCGCTTTACAATATAACGGGAGACGATACAGCAACAATACAGTTCAATACAAGAGGGTTAGGAGGGCCCTGATCCTGGGAGCTTACAATCTAAGAGATCAACAATAGGATCAGGTTACAAGAAGATTCCCATGATTTTCATACCTCCCATCCTGTTCATGGACAATCAACATGTACACATTCTATGGTGATTGCATGAAAGTGTTTTAAGGTGTCAATATAAAGTCTATGGTGTATTCCTGACACGCATTGTAATTGAAGAAGTTGTTTGGATAATACACAAAATGCCCCCCACATTACAGAACAAGTTCAGTTGAATGTGACTAACTACGTCTAAACTACACATCCTTTAAATGAGAGGTTTGGGGATGTGTTGAGCTGTCTTTGGTGTTACAGAACACCACAATTTGCACAA